GCGGTTGTTAAGTAAACAGAGCAGCAACTCAGATTTCATGGCTTAACAGGCTAGCCCAAGAACCTTTTGAACAATGTGTAGTTTTCTAAGGGTAGTATGCCTATTTCTTTCTTTATTTCTTTATTTCATTATTTACTTACTTATTTTAAATGGGCTTTAGGTGCCATGGGCTGGCTGATTTCTACCACCATTCTGAGAGCTATGTCACCGGTTGGAGAAAAAGGGGGTCAAGAAAAACCCACTACTTACGTTCACAAATCATTCTTATCCCCAGAATCCTTATTTATTTTCAGTTTATACATCACAGGGCCAGCTACAGGGAGCATATAACGCACCGGTTACAAGAACTGCACTGGCTACCAGTTCGTTTCCGAGCCCAATTCAAATTGCTGGTCGTTACCTATAAAGCCCTATACAGCTTGGGTCCAAGCTACATGAAGGACTGTTACCTCCCTATATGCGCCTTCTCAAGCGATTAAGATCAGCAGAGGAGGCCCTCCTCTCGGTCCCACTGCCAGCACAAGAACAGCTGATGGGGACACGGGACAGGGCCTTCTCGGTGGCAGCTCCCAGGCTACGGGACGCTCTCCCTTGGGAGATCAGGATGGCTCCTTCCCTTTTATCATTTCAAAAAAAGCTAAAGACCCATTTCTTCTTTTAACAATTACAACTGAATCCCTGAACCCTGTTTCATCAGATAATTTTAATCTTTTCCATGTTTTAATGCTTTAATCTTTTGATTTGTTTTTAAATTATATATTGTTTAATTTACCTTTTAATATTTAACTTATTTTCTTTTTAAATTGTGTTGATGCTCACGTATAAAGCCCTAAACGGCTTAGGGCCTCGATACTTGGCGGAACGCCTACTTCCACCAAGTTCTACCGTGTCACTCGCGCGAGTCAGGAGGTGAGGCTGAGGAGCCTAACGCTGAGGGAGGCCCAGAAAGAAAAGACAAGAAATCGGGCCTTCTCGGCGGTGGCTCCTCGCCTCTGGAATAACCTTCCCCCTGACATTCGTGCGGCTCCCTCGCTGGGTACTTTCAAAAATCAACTAAAAACACTGATGTTTCGGCAGGCCTTCCCCTCAGCTAATTCCTGATCTTCCCTTTTCTTCTCTCCTAGTGTTTCCCCCATCCTGTCTAATGTTTCTTCCCTCATTTAAAATTGTTTTAATTATATTATTATATATCTGTTGTAAGCCGCCTAGAGTGGTCCTGTGGGGCTAGATAGGTGGGATATAAATAAAATAAATAAAATAAAATAATAAATAAAATAAAATTGCTCAACCCTGAATGGTTTATTGAATCTCATAAATATTAGGTTGACGGGATTCTCTGTGATGCAGTTGCCATTGATTTTTCTCTAATATGAAGATATCAGGAGTGGACCTGGGAACTCCCAGTAATTCGGCAGCTAACAATAAAGAGGTGTTCAAGGCAGCTAGCAATAAAAATCTAGATTTCAAACAGTATGTTTTGTCCCTTCCCGATGCATTCCTGTTCACCCAGCTTTGTGCACAAAATCTTCCTGATAGGTTGCCCTTAGAACTATGCCGTGGCAGAAGTTTTGAGGAAATGACTGACTCAACCCCAGGAGCGTTCTGATCACCACCATCATCAAGATTATCACGCTTCTTCATGGAGCTCAAGGCAAAGTATGATGTTGTTTTCTGTCTCATTTCATCTTCCTTGCAGCCCTGAGAGGTAGGATCCTGCTAAGCGAGATTGGGTGGTCCAAGACTGTCCAGTGAGTTCCATGGCCAAGTGGGGATTTGAACCGAGATTGCCAGAGTTCTTATCCAATACTCTAACCACTGTGACGTGCTGGCTCTCACTTTTTAAACTATCCTTCAGGGAAGCACCACAGTTTAGTGGCAGAGCACATACCATATTTTTCCATGTATAAGACTATACTTTTGTCTAAAATCTTTAGACTAAAAATTGAGGGTTGTCTTATACACGGAAGTAAGCCGAGGAGAGAAAACAAACAAGTGGCGGGAAAAGCAGGGAGCAAAGCGATCCTGCAGCGCTTTGATCTCTTTCCCCCTACACTTGCTAAGCCCCACTTAGATTTCTTAATTTTATTTATTTATTTATTTATTTATTTATTTGATTTTTACCCCGCCCCTCTAGACCATGTCTACTCGGGGCAGCTTACAAAATAAAACAGAACAGTATAATATAATAACAGTATAACAACAGTATAATTTTGGGTTAGAAAAGGGGGGGGGGGGGCGGCATCTTATACATGGGGGTGTCTTATACATGGAAAAATACAGTACATGCTTTGTCAAGAAGGTCACAACCCCAGCCATCTCTAGTATATAAAGTTCATAGGTTGTTGATGGTCTGAAGCAGAAGAAAAGATGCCTTAACTGAGATACTGGAGCACCACTTCTATGGAGGCTAAATGGACAGCACTTAATCTAGTAGAACAGAGTTTCTTTTACCTCACCTTTCTTTTGGCCAAAGAAAGTTGGGGGGGGGGAAGGAATCTGTTTATTCTCCTAGCAACCCTGTGAGGTCAGTGAGCATGACAAGCAGAACAGCAACGTCAATCAGGCTTGGTTCATAGCTGAGCAGAAAGTCAAGCCTCCCATACACAGACCAGAGAGCAACCCACACCCTTACGGCTTTGCTTCTGTTTTTCCATGACTGCTGAAACCCACTTCTGTGTGGTCTTGTTCTAAAGGCCTAACAGGCTTGTCCAGACCCGACACAGACTAGGAGAAGATAGTAGAAGATATTTTCGACACTGCGCCCCCACCAAAAAGTGCCAAGAGACAGTGACATTGCATTCAGACCCGTCTTTTCCTATCCTCACCTCCTCCTCTGCAGCCAACGGCTGAACCTGCCAGTATAATACATTTCATGTGTGAAAATTATCAAAAGGAAGCCCCAAGATCACATTTTTGTTTAGATCTTCCTCTGGCTCTTGGCCTTGTTTTCCCATCACCTGTAATACGGAAGAATTTCTAGGCTGTGACAGTGGTGTTGCCATGGCAATGACTCTTCTCTACTGGATGGCAAAAACACACACGTACAGACAGGCACACATGCAGCAACAAACCCAAATACACTGCAGCAAAATGACAGAAGGGTATAATCCAATGAGAACTTCTCTTGCCCAGCAATCTTAGCAGCTCTCATTATTGTCTTCAATGAAACATCTGCAGGAGAATCTACTGGGTTGTGGGCAGACATTTTTAATCAGATAGCACGTTTAACCACACAGACGATCAACAATGATAATACATGGATATTGTTCTTGATATAGGATCCTGACTCTCATGTATTAGTTTGGAGTTCTCTCTCCTCTTTTATCTTTGCTTTCAACCCTGGAAGACGGAATTTTGGGGACAGTTCCCTCTAATGAATACAATCATGTCAATAAATCAACTGTTTATTGACTTTCCAGAACACATTTATTGCTCTGCATCGCTTCGGTTTGTCTACAGACAAGCCACCCTTGGAAACAGGGGGGGAAACTGTTTATTTAGAGATAACAAAGAAAAAACTTTGCACCCAATTAACTTCCCTTTCTCAGGTTCTGAGCCAAACGTTTTCTTCTGCTTCAGGGTCCTCAATTAAAGTAATGTTGTGGCGAGTAGAGGGGACAACTGCTCGGATCTTCTCTTTTGGGTGAGTTTTATTGCCATTTTTCAGAAGACATGACAAAAATGAGGAAATGGGAGGGGTTGTTCCCCAGACTAAATATAGACCTATGGTAAGACCGGGCTCACAAAGACCCAGCTCTACTCCCTCCTCTGGGAGCACACGCTTGTGAGTTGAAATTTCAGTTTTCGTGCCCACACACATGAAATACTTATGAATGGGCACAGCAGAACAGGGGTGGTGGAATCTCTTTGCAAGATCTCCTAATACAATACGGGCCTCGATTTACTTCTCCTGATGCCCTAAACAGTAGCGGTTCTAACAGGAGTTCGTATCTCTGGAAGGATTCTTGTCTGTGTTTGTAGAACTGCAGCCTAAAGAAGCGGCTGGCTTCGTGCCCTGACCTTGCGTCTGGGAAAAGTTCTCTCCCTGCACTTTATTTTCCAAGCAAGTTCCCCTGGCCTTCCAAGCAGCTCATAAACGGTCTGCACCCATGTCACGCATCTGGGCCTCAACCCAACCCATTTGATTTTGTCTTCGCTGGGGTACATGACCAGAGAGCACTGCAAGTGTGTCTTTCACGTCCTTTGAGGGGGTGCAATAATAATAATAATACCCCCATCCCCACCCCGGAATCACAGCTCTGGGAAGAAGGCAAGTAGAACTAGTATCAATAACAGTACAGTAAATTAATAATGATCCATAATTCTCTTGAGTCAGGGCTTTGCATTATTGAAGATCTTATAAACGGGAAAGGGAGAAGGAGGTACTCCCCATGATAAATATACATGCCCCTCCATCCTCACGCATGAACACACGTGTCTTTGCCCTTATATCTCTCCCTATTAGATTTAAAACAGGTTTAACCCTGTGGAGAAATACAATCAACCCAACAATAATTAAACTTGTCTGTAAAGTTCCTCTCCACCGCGCAAGTGAGCCCCTCTCCTTTTGTAACCCAAGGTTTTTGGAAACTGCTGAAGGGACACTTCTTTTTTTAAAAAATAGTAATAATGATAATAATAAAAGTGTAGCATGTCCCAACCCGGAGGTGCTTCGGTTGCAAGCCATATGGAGTTTTAAGACCCTAAAGAGCAGGTCTCGGAAAGGGCAGCGCGCCGCGCGATCCCAGGCGCGCTTCCTCGGAAGTAAGTCGGAGCGCGCCAGGGATCCACGCGCCAGCAAGGCAGGGGGTATGAGCGCACCCCCGGATTCGCACCGCAGGCAAGCCCAGGCTGGCGCTTTTGCGCCCAAGAGAGGCGCGAGGCCCTTTGCTCGCAGCTGCAGGACGGACGGACGCACACAGACACAGACACACACACACCCGATACCTTTCCAGCCGTTTGCAAACCGTCCGTTTCCCCCCCCCCCAGGTTCCCCTCACCTCTCAGCAGCAGCAGCAGCAACGCGGGCGAAAGGAGCGGTGACCTTGCAGCCAAATTCCTCGCCCGAGTCGGAAACGAAGCCCTGGGCTTCTCCTCCTTTTCTTCTTCTTCCTCCTCCTCCTCCTCTTCCTCCCAGCTGGGGGGGGCGCGAGCCAGAGGCGAGAGGAACCATCCGGCGAAGGCTCTCGAGCCCGGGCTCTCAAAGCCCAGCCTTGCCCGGTCGGCGAGCGCTTCAGGGAGGCGGCGGCGGCGACGGCGGCGCAAAAGGCGCCCCAAAGGGGAAGCCCGCCCCGGCTCTTCTCCTCGCCGTCAGCGGCCGCCTCTGCTTCTCCCGGCCGGCGTTCGGGCTCGGCTGCCCGGGGCAGTGCGCAGGTGGGGCCGGGCGGCGGCTGCTGTTGCTTCCTCCGCGAGAGGCTGGAGAGGAGCCGCCGGCGTCGCCTTCTCCACCCGGAGGCAGCTGGCCGAGCGAGGCGAAAGGGGCGAGCGAGAAGCGGAGCGGCCTCCGGAGGCCGAGCGGGGGACGCTACTGGTGGCCGGGAGGCGGCGACGGGCTCTGCGGGCCTCGGAACGCCAGCCCTCGGCGCCGCTGAGCGCTTCCTGCCGGAGAGAGAGAAGGGCGCTTGCTAGGCGGCCGCCGGTCGCTTCGCGCCTATGTTGACTCCAGGATGCGAGCGGAGGCGTGGCTTGCCGCTGCCACCCGCCTAGTCATCGCCCGTGGCGGAGGAGGGATTCGAACCCGGGACTTCAGACTCCTGGTCCCTCCTGTTCCCCGCTGGGTCTCAATGGAGGACCTGCATTGGCTCTCTCGCGCGCTCTCTGTCTCCTGCCAACCGAGCTTCACCTCCTCTTACCTGTAGAGGGAACCTGCGTAAAATTACCATTACAGTATTTCATTGGTACCTAGTGCATCTTATTACTTGGACAGATAAATGCCTAGAAAACTTCACTCTCAATGGATCACAACAAGGGGAGAGGCAACTGCATAAGGAAAGAAGAGAGCTCGTGAATTGCTCCAGGCAGGAGAGGGATTCAAGTTCCTACAATAGTGTATTCCTTGATCTGAACACCAGTGAACTCCTCATTTTTCACTTTGATTTACACGGTAGAACTGCTCTCCTAGGAATGCATCTTGCAGCGGTCATTTCCCCCGTCATAACATCCTCTTTATTGAATCGCAGCTCTTCTGCCCTCTTCCATTTTCCACCAAGTTGTGTCAATTGAGGAGTTTGTTCTTTGGTGGGTCATAGGAAAATGAAGTGCCTGGTCCGCATTGATCAGCTAACCCAGTATTTCAACATGGACTGCCAGTGGTTTTCCAAGGTTTCAGTCACTATTGTTTTCCTTTAAGTAAACAAAAACAAACCAGCAATGTTTCGCTCAGATTTATAATCGGACCAAAAAATAAAAAACAAATCACCAAAAAAAAAAGCTATTTATCATTTTCCTTGCCCACCTGGAGATGCTGGGGATACAATTTTAGCCTTTCTACTTTTCTTGATTTGAAATACAATAGGACCCCCATATCTGCGGAGGATTGGTTCCTAGCGCCCCGGTGGATGCTGAAAAATGGGTTACAGAGAATCTTATTTTAACAGTTAGCAAACACTCTACAAACACATTGTCTCTGCCTCGCTTTGGTGGCCAATTCTGGTAACTTCAGCTTTAGAAATACAGTATATATTTCTAGGATTTGTCTTTTATTATTTTTAGTACTTTCAGACCATGGATAAGAGAATCGGCAGATATTGATCCCTCAGATATGGGGGGGTCCTCCTGTAATCTTCAGAGGTCTTTTCCCAACAAAGAATAAGTGTCAGTGTTGACACACAGATTTGTGAAACCTTCTCCAAGGAAATTTGCTTAGTGCTTAACATGTTATAGCCTCATTAATTTTTTAAATTTTTGTTTAAACCTGTTGTGTGGTGTGCGTGTGTGTGTTTTAACTGACTGTTGTATTTTAACTAGAGAGGAAGGAAAAGGGACCTTAGGACTTGAAATAAGTCACAAACTCATCAGGTCAAAAGGAAGGGCTTCACTCTACATGCCTAAAGTCAAGTGACAGGTAGAATAAGTAAATCCCACTTTTTAATGGCAAGGAATTATAGGGCCATAATCCAGACCTGATCTACAACACATGGGGCAGAACAGGGTAGTAGAATGGGATGGCAGGCCATGGATGGCACCATTGAATATGGCCATCTATTAAAGTAGCAAAGCATCTCCCTAGTTTTACTGTAATCTTTCTCCATAGTTTTGGCAATTTTCTTGCAGACCAGCCTGAGAACAGAGATTGGAAAAATTAATTTTTGGGGATCGCTGTAGCCCAGATCCCAAAAGCTGCGAGCCATGCTCCCTATAGGCATAATGGGAGTTGTTTTAATGCAAAAACTAGAAGAAGAAGTTGTTTCTAAGTCTTACTTGAGAAAACACTGCATCTACTGACCAGATTTCAAAAGATGGGGAAGCATTAAGCAGGATTTTCTTGAAAATAAAAATACAATAACATTTAAGAGCCCTATTCCCAAGTGATGCAAGACTTTAAATATCAATAGCAACTGTTTAAATTGAGTTTGGAAAAGAACTGGTAATTAGTCTAGTTCTCCAATAATTGGTGTTATCCTTCCAACTGGCACTAATCACTAGATTTTGGACCAGTCAGTCTCCAGACACTCTTATTTATTATAACTACTGTATAATCTTTATCCAGTGTCATCCTTTAGCACTATTAGCTTGATATTTCAGTGCAGGGGCAGGAATCATGTATTTTGTGACTCTCTCCCCCCCACCAGACTGCTGTGCGCCACTGATTCCCACATCGCCTCCCATTGTTGTTTGATTGCTGTTTTTATTGTTTCATTTTGCCCTTTTGCTTTTGCAAAAATGAGACTTCTCTCCTATGAGTCAAGGCATGTCCCTCTTACCAAATACTGGGGGTAGCTTTTTTTAAAAAGGCCATGACCTTCTAGTTACTTTCACTTTAATGGCAAGGACTGGTGCCGCTAGGGTAATATCTGGCCAGTGATGGAAAATTGACGCAGGCCCTTGACATCTTGCCCAACCCTTCTGTATGGAATACAAGGAATAAGGTCTTACAATGATCTTACAATCTGAAATTCAGCAGAGCAGAAAGAGCAGAAGCAAGGGAGTAAATGGAGGCAAAGGTAAGAATGGAAGTAAGATACATATAAGAATTGATGGTCCCAGCTGGACACGGTATCTTGTCCAGCATCCTCTTTCCCATGATGGCCAACCAGCTACTGATGGGCAGCTAGGAGCTCAGTTCTAGTGATCTGAAATTCAGCAGAGGAGAAAGAGCAAGGGAGGAAATGGAAGCAAAGGTAAGAATGGAAGTAAGATACTGTATAAGAATTGATGGTCCCAGCTGGACAAGGTCCAAAGAGCTATCTTGTCCAGCATCCTGTTTCCCATGATGGCCAACCAGCTGCTGATGGGCAGCTAGGAGCTCAGTTCTAGGATCTGAAATTCAGCAGAGGAGAAAGAGCAAGGGAGGAAATGGAAGCAAAGGTAAGAATGGAAGTAAGATACTGTATAAGAATTGATGGTCCCAGCTGGACAAGGTCCAAAGAGCTATCTTGTCCAGCATCCTGTTTCCCATGATGGCCAACCAGCTGCTGATGGGCAGCTAGGAGCTCAGTTCTAGTTGTGAGATACCCATGAAATGAACCACCTATTGAAAGCAATATGTAGCTGTTCTGACTAGTAGCCACTGACAGCCTCAATGAATGTCTTATCCTCCCTTAAAGGCCTATTGAAAGCAATATGTAGTTATTCTGACTAGTAGCCACTGACAGCCTTACCCTCAATGAATGTCTTATCCTCCCTTAAAGGCATCTGTTTTTGTGGTGATGTACCATCACCTCTGACTTATGGGGACCCTATAAATGAACAATCTCTAAAATGTCCTGTCCTCAACTGCCAGCTCTTGTAAACTCAAGCCTGTGGTTTCCTTTAGACTCTCCAAATATGAGAGTCAGTCCTTCTCATATTTGGTCTTCCACTTTTCCTGCTGCCTTCAACCTTTTCCAGCATTATTGTCTTTTCCCGACAATCCTGCCTTCTTATCATGGGCCCGAAGTAGGACAGGCTTAGTTTCAACATTTTTCCCCCTCTAGAGAGAGAGATCAGGCTTAATTGGACCTAGGACCTGTTGTTCAACTTTCTGGCAGCCCAGGATGTCTGCAGAGCTATCCTCCAGCATCACATTTCAAACACTTCAATTTTTTTGTTTGTTATGTATGAGCAGGCGGGACAGCTCAGTGGTTTAGAGATCTAGCTGTAGCGTCAAAGGCTGGGAGTTCAATTCCCCATTGTGCCTCCTGGGAGATGTGCCTGCCTTTGTGGCCTTAGGCACAATCTCAAGAGTCCCCCTACCCCCAACAAAAAACAGAATGGCAAACCACTTCTGTGTATTTTCTACCTGGAAAACCTTAAAAACAGTTGCCATAAGTCAGAATTGGCTTGGTGGCACATGATGATGATTACTATCAGGTGGCTTCTAACTTCTGCTGACCCCAGTAATGAGTTACCTCTAAGAGGCCATATCATAACAGCCTGAACCAGATCTGGCAAACTCCAGCATATGGCTTTATTTATTGAGTCAATCTATTTCATTTTGGTCCATCCCCCCCCCCCGCCTCCAGCTTTCCCCAGGATTACAATCTTTTTCAGTAAGTCCTCTGTTCTCATGAGGTACCCAAATTATGATATCAGAAGTTACAAATGCTGAAGTAGGCTTCTATCCCACAAAGCTTGTGCCAAATAAAAGTTGCTAGTCCTCAAGGCATCACAAGACCTGTTGGTTTTAACGCTGAATAGTGAGCGTTCAGTGCAATAGAACACTCTCCCCAGCACGACGGATTCATCCTGTCAAATCTATTTAACTGGACTGTCCTAACTTGCTACATGAATGGCAAACGTTCATAATTTACTTTCATTACCAGGAAATATATTTAAAGAAGAGATGTTTCCAACACAGCATATACAACCCCATGTCATACTTGGGGCAGCTTCTGAGTTTCTTCTTTCATTTTTAAGTTTTCATACCATTTGCTTTGCCATCTGAAGTCTATTTTTATCTCGGCAACATCCATAAACATCAGCTTCTGTTTATGTACCAGAGTCTATTCTAGGACTTGACTTCAACAAGGATGGATTGAACAAAGTTATGTCCAAGGCGATAAGTACCCTCCGT